CTCCCACAACTCCTGCCCCCATCTCCATCCACCTAGACACTCAAGGCTGCACAACGGGCGCAGACAAAGAACGGTTCCAGTCCTGCTGCTGCTGCTGCTGTTGTTCTTCCATCGGTTCCTCTCATTCATCACCCTGTCCTCCAACCAGACTCTGGGACCCTGGAGTTCTAAACATCTGGGTCGTGTTGTTTATGTGAGAACCTGAACTCATCGTCCTGAGTCATGATGTTATGGTTGGAGTGTGTGTGTGTGAGTGAGAGAGAGAGAGAGGGTGACTCACTCACTCACACACACACACACATTGATGGAAGAGGAAGAAGGGCTGACAGGTAAACATGGAGTGTCCTTTATAATCAGGGAGGGGTGAGGGGGTGAGGTGAGGGTCGGGGGGGTAAATATATGACATTTTTGGGGTGAGGTTGTGTTCAGGAACTCCTCAGAGTTTCTAAAGAGAAAGTTCAGCTTCGACCTTTGACCAGGGGTCATACAGGTCATAATAATTAAAACAGCAGACACTCGTCTTACCATCGTCATTGGAGCCATTTGAATATCAATCCAAGTCGAACGGAATAAAAAAAAGCACAGTGACGGGGGGCACCGCGTTGGTGACCCCTGCCTCAGAGAAAGGTCCAGTCCCAGGTGTGTGTGTGTGTGTGACAGATTGTCTCTGTTCGTTCGTTCTCTCCTGGTTTGTCACAGAGAGGCTGGAAGGAATAATAGAAATAAAAAAGCTCCGACCTTCAGACTGAAGGAACCTGCAGTTTGTTGACGAACCGCTGACATCTGTCAACAACAATCGCCACGACAACAAACACACGCCGCCGAGCCTGGCAGGGAATAACGGAGTGTGGTTTTTTACCCAGCAGTCGGCAGGGCTGTGTGTTGTCAAGAATCTGTCGCTACGACACGGGGGCAACGATACGATATATATTGCGATATATTGAGTTGTGTTTTATTTTTTTCTCACCAGTGTAGCTGTAGTCAGAGTGTGATCCTAGTCTCAGACTCTAACTAACACTGGAACACCGATACATCAAACTCCCCCCTCCTACCTGGAACCCATCTGTCATTCAGACTGCACGACCAACTCACAGCTTTTTAACTTCCGCAGTAAAAACAAAGTGGAACTGCGTGTTGTTTGAAGTTGTGTTTGGGTCCAAACTAAGAGACGTAAACAAAAGAAGGATAACTGATGGTCGTCTGCTCGACATCCATCATCTACAAACGACTCACTTACTGAGAGCTGTGTGTGTCTGATCGTCAGGGCTGAGAAAATAAATAACACACAGTGAGGCTGAACTACAGAGTCAGTACCATGGGGGAACGGAACGGAACCGAAACAGAACGGAACAGAACGGAACAGAACCGAACCGAACCGAACCAAACAGAACTGAACAGAACAGAACAGAACTGAACCGAACTGAACTGAACAGAACAGAACAGAACAGAACTGAACGGAACGGAACGAAACAGAACAGAATGGAACAGAACAGAACAGAACAGAACAGAACAGAACAGAACAGAACTGAACTGAACCGGTCCAGTCCAGCCACAGTAGGTCAGCAGCTCTGGTACAGATCTAGTCCCAGGATTT